CCCCGCCCCTTAGTAACTTCCCATGACCCTAAATGACCAACCACAGTCAATAGCTTCTGTAGGACCCTAACACTGAACAACATCAGAGGGTGGAACAAAATTGTTATGTAGTAATTCCGTATTACTGAAATAAATGTACAACCAAAATATATCAAACAAATATTCAGGTCCTGCCTGTTTAAAGGGAAGATGTTAACTCTATCTGCTATGAAATCACTGCCAGGTGGATTATAGCACAGTCCATTTTGTTTAGTACACTTGTCTATGGCAGAATAGCGATTTATTTGTTGGATAGAGTTTCCTGCCCTTTGAACAACTGTGAATTCCTAACTTTTATCTAATGTTAATAATGAAAGGACTACTTGAAAAAAATAAAAAATAGGTTTGCAATGCATGAAAAGGGACATTTGTCTAAAGATGTGAGTTACCCACAACTGTATCTAAATTACTTTATAAATATTATTTAAATATTCAAAAATTTTTTCGTTTTCAAGTGCATAATTTTTAAACAAAATGTCTCTCTAAAGAGTTAAAGACAGCTGCAGTTATTTCTAAACAGAAATTATACCCAAGATACAGACCCACCATAAAAAATATCAGAAAATTAAACTTACACCGAGAGTTCTTCTTTGACGGCTCATATCTTATTTCTGTCATCTCTTTATCAAGGACAAAGGTTTTTTTATGATGGCCCTTCCTGTTGACATCCAGTTTGATCATCTTTGATCCATGTTGCATCGCCTTCCAGCAGTCTTGAACTAATTATAATCAATAATTTTTTACCATTCGTCAAGGTTGTTCTATCCGAAATGTTTTATTTTAATATTAACCCTTTAACTCCCAAGATCTTATTGCTAATTCTCCCCACTTGCTTCCACATATTTCCTTATTCATTGGTCATGAGAAATTGGTGTAACCAAAAACAAATTCTAACTGATGAGATTGAATCATCTCATTACCTGTTTTCTGGATAATTTATGGATATTATGGGGAGAAGTTACACATTAATCACTTCTGGGAGATAAAGGGTTGAACAAAAATCATAAACAAATGAAAATCACACATGATGATCATTTTTATAAAGTGAATGTTCTTCATTATCTAATCACTAGGTTACCTGAACGTGGAGCATAAACTTAGACCATGAATTAGATGAAGCTAGTTCAAAGAATTGTAATCAACAATATTCATTAACTTACGTCAAATTGATTTTTTCTGTTTGCATATGTCATCCCAAAGTTTTGGCGGTGTGTCAACACAGAATTTTCTTACAAATACCCGTTTCTTTGCTACATTCAATACACCTTAGTTTGTTTTACTAGTCCAATATTTGCATACCTTGTCAAAATTTAGCATACCAGATACAAATTAAAGCTTGACTAACACAACTGTTTCGATTTCACATGTACTTTCAAGAAAAGTTTTCATCCTTGAATTTTCTTTTTTACTTGGATATAGTAACAGTGCTATGAGGTATAACATGAGAGTCTTAAAGAAAAATATAATTTTTCATAAAAATGGAAAAAAAAATTACATACTCGTCAAGACCTCGCCAGATGTGTGCATTCTTTTAATTTTGCTGTGAAATATGAGAGCGACGGGGTTTGGGCGCCTCGTTGTCACTCAACAAGAGAACTATTTAGCAGCAGGGAATATGCGAGTGATTGAAACCCCTTAAACGCTCCAAAATTGCGTGACAAAATGTCGTGACACATGTAAGAACTTTTCGAAAAGCCCCTAAACTTCTAAAGTATACATGTTCGATTGTTTTCTTATCGAAAACCTCAACGTTTACAGCGAAACGAGTAAAATCCACGACAAAATATGAGTTAAAAATAGATAAATCAATCAATAAAATCTTGATACAGGATCCGATGTACGTAAGTTACTGTGCTAGGATTACTCGTATTTTCTTCCAAACAATAACATATTTGTTCCTTTCTATTTCACCGCTAGTTTAAGTAGTTTCACAAGAAGGAGCAAAATTAACTTGTTAACAAAGTGAGTTAAATCTCAAGCTACTAAAGTAAGATTCTAGAAGCAAAACAATATTTTGACAAGTGTCAATTTCAAGACGTTCATTAATGAACTTCTTCTCCGCGAGTTTGCTAAGAGATAAACTTTGTCTTAAATTTCTAAGGAGAACGATCGAATTAACATTGAATTTCGTTAAAACTCTGTTCAAATTTTAGAAACTTATTCGCTAAAAGTTACGTACACTTAAAATAATTTAAAACATGGTATGTCTTGAAGGCGAATATTTGTTATACCGATGCAATGTCACGCTTGGTTAAATGAAATTATCACAGTCATCCGAACCCAAAAACAAGAATGAAGAGACAAAATCATCTTAAAATATATCGTGTAACTGCAAACTAAACTTTTTCTTTAATTCTGCGAATATTTGTTATCTCAAAAGTTTGCAGACTTGACGTGGGCGAAAGTTGAAGCCAAACATCTGTCAGAACAAATCTTAACGACAAGCTTGGCAAATTTTAAAACCAATGAGCCTAATATTCTATGCTTATCAGCAAAACGTTTTGAAAAATCTTACCTGATGGAGCAGAATTCTCGTTTTCATCGGCCATTCTTGCAAAAGTGAGGGCAACTGTATGAACTTCTTACAAGAAACAACAATTCAGAATTAATTATCATGAAAAAAAATACAAGTTAACTCAATCACACACCCGCCCGATTTAGAAAACCTTCGTTACGCATCGGGAAGTCCTTTAGTTTTACCGTATGGTTTAATTATTAATATTCAAAACATGTTCATTGAATATTTATAGGGATTTTTAAAATATTTGTCAACAGACTCAAAACATCCGCCATAAAGTTTTGGCAAAATGAGGAATGTTTTAGGAAGGAAAATCGATGTTTACGAATTTCCGATGTACACCGCTGAATAGTAACAGTACGTGACTTGAAAAACTTCACGTACAGCCCGTGTGAAAGCATAGATCTCCCCTAGGAAATAGAGTGTTTTTAAAAAGAAAAAAAACTAATGTGTGAAAGGCAGGCATATATATTAAGGCGGCATAATTTTTTTCAAGGCGTCATGATTTATTAAAAACGCAGCAAGAGGATTTCTAAAGAACGCTTTAAAAATGTTTTGAGGACTTTCCTTGAAGGTATCAGCGTAATTTTTTGTGCAAAAGTAAACAGCTTGCCCGTTGTTTTCCTTAGAAAAAAAAATGAGAAAGAAAGCTATCGCTACAGTTGTGTCTTCAAGATTGTTCGTAGGAGAGACATAAGGTATGAATTTGCAGTCTCCGCCCCTGTTTTGACTTCGAAAGTGAAAAAAGGATATGCAATTAAGATCACCTCCCAAAGCATTGCGCGATATTAAACAATACTTTGTGATTTTACTCATTCATAGTCGGAAAAATTCAGAACATTGAAAGCCAAGGAGCTTTACAAACAGACTTAAATATAAAAAAAAATAACACACAAACACGATCACCTACCAGTGTATCGCAATCTCTAGAACTGATAAAATACTGGCGAAATAAATAAAACCGAAATAAATATTGCAGCGCGCGTGTATGAAATGGCTAATACTTTTTAAAAAATACCCCAATTGCATGATACAAATCGATTTTCAAAATTATACAACATGAAGGAAAAATGCGGAAAACTGGGAATATTTGTGCAATATCTTTAATGAAAACCCTTGTTGAGTAATCTTAAGGGTCTCTATCCACCGACACAATACTGTTCTACATAACATCTAGCCTGAAAATAATATCACATATCCCGAGTGCAGTTTACGCATTTAACGTGCAAAGAAAGAATTTGATCAGGTATCGCAATTTTTGAAAGAAAAACCGCAGTAAATGCAAAGCTTTATGTTTAAGAGGGCCATTTTGCTTACCAAATGTCCAACATTGACTTGTTCGGTCTTCGCTAATTGCTTCTTTTCGCTAACAGACGAACAGATGCAATTGCAGGTACTGAGGCGGGTAGTTGTTAATTGTCATGAGATAAATATTGGGAATTTTCCAAGTAACATCAGATGCTAATAAAAAATATTCGACATAATCCTGGATAAGCTACCCACAAGATTATCTATCAGGCGCGACTTTGGCCTTTATCTAGAAGGGGAAGAGGTTTGTGGCCTCAAGGCTTTCGTCAAAACTGAAATAGGAAACGGAAGTGAAATAACCTTGAACGTTTTGCGAAGTAAAAGGTTATATTTAACGACCTAGGTTTCCTCAACTCACGAGGACATACCCCATGACATAAATAACAAAGATTTAACCAACAACTTTCTAGTTTCACAACGTGGTTACGGAAACTCAAACGTACATAATTATCGAAATGGCAAATCCGTGATAAAAAAAATTCAATGAAAGTTTTATTTCGTGACATTAGCATTATTGTGTAGCAACAGCTCTCATGCGCGGTCGAACGAAGTTTACAGTGACATCATCATTTTATGTGGGCTTTCAAGAGATTTCTGAGAGGGTCACACACTTGGGTGTACGTAAAAGTTAAGGAAAGTTGAAATACAACAATGGTGACAGTGATGTTTTTATATAGCGCATTCTCCGTAAGAATATGCTCTAATACACGTAACAAAACTTTGCGGGGGAATTTGGCCACACTGCATTGAGTAATTTACAATATTTTTGAAAGAGAATTTTGCAGGTGCCACCAATTAAGGAATTTTGGGAAACAAAGCCAAAAACACAACACCAGGAGCTACGTTCCTTACTCTTTGCTAGAACGTTCCCTACTCTCCGCGAGAAGTGCTTGGGTTTTTTTTTCTTTTTTCAACGTCCTCTGCAAACCAGTCGAACAAAAGTAGCATATTCTCCTTCGTAATTTTTAAGACCCTAAGTGTTGGTCCGGTCTGGGGCTTAAACCCTTGACCTCCACGTCGGTCTGTTACATCCTCTGCCTTTTCCTACATGACGGAAAATAATAATTATCTTCTGACATCTTTAAATGGTCAATATGGAAACGTGACCTTAACCGGAAGTGATCTTAAGTAAAGGAACGACGTGCAAATATGACGCACATCCGGTCTTGCATGTGTCTCATTTATTACACGTCTAAATATCATAATTCGAGGCATATGACAAGCATACAGCTTCTCCCTGTAACATTCGCTCACTATCCAATAAACAAGTCATGAGAATACTCATACTTATGCTGTAAAAGCTGCTATCTTGATCTAACACTAAATTTATCGTATGTATTTACAAGAAAATATCTAGCGGCTAGAAGGGAGAATTAACAATCAGATCTTGGGAAGAGAAGGGTTAGAAAGTCCAACCGGAGCGAAAACTGGAAATTGTTTGTGACACGTCTATCTACTCAATGTTCAATTCTCATGCGTCTCGAATTCCTTTCAGAATGATTGTTAAAAAGCCAACGCAAGTCTCATTTCGGTAAGTTTTTTTTTCAGTATGTAACCGTTTAAAACCTTAAGAGGAACAAGCATCTAATTTTTTTCCCGACAAAATCACCCCTGAATCAAACATTATTAAAGGTCATGAGAATATTGGAAATGAAACTCCTGATACTTAAACAAATTCTCCTTATCTGCACCTCAGAAAATGTATAGAGAACAGTAGAGAGAATATGCATACTGATGTGAGGGTGTAAAGGTTTAAAGGGAATACTTACAGAAGATTCGGGGGCAAATTTCAAACTTCACTTCATGGAGACGTATGCGAACTTAATTTTGATGCGCCTTCCGATGACTTGGCCCCTCGGGCGCTTTCCAATTCACTAAAATAACAGTTTGTTTGCTGGGTTTCTCTTCGTTCGTTCGTTTGTTCTGTTCTCGAGAATTTAGCAAATCAATAAGAATATTTTTAAAAGTTTAAAAATCACGCTCGAAAAGGCACAATCCAAAGTCGATTGTGAAGATTGTTTGCCTTGCAATATCATCCTAAATGTAGCTATTTTCACCACTTTCGAACAGAATGATCTTCAAATTAATTTTATCACATACCTTGTGCTTGAAGAAAAACACTGCATGAATGATTTAAGAGAAATGTGTGTGAATACAGCCACAGGTCCTGGGCTGATATAGTTTCCTGACTCCTACATCGCCATTTTTTATCTCACGTGTATAGATTGTATGCGCGGTAAGAGACTAAAACCGAAAAAACTTGGGTATCCGTTGGAAATTCTCTTAATTCGAGGCTGATTAGCGAGTTTCTGGGTGAATCGTGTATGCAATTCTATCAAAAGTAGTCGCTTTATTCTTTTTCATTTCGTAGCTTTATTGTCTCGAGTAATCTACTGCTTGACATTTCCACAGAATTGGACACAGTCAACAGAACTGGAACTAAAATGTTGATGAGATTATAACTTATTCTTTTTCATTTCGTAGCTTTATTGTCTCTAGTAATCTGCTGCCTGACATTTCCACAGAATTAGAAACTTGTAATTGAATCAGTCAACAGAACTGGAATTAAAATGTTGATGAGATTATAACTTGTATTGAGCTTTTCTTCAAGGGCGTAGCTCCGGAAGTCCGCAAACCCGCAATCTCCATAATGAAATGACTTATTCTTTCTTATTTTAATATACACAAATCTGGATCAATGTCAGACTGAACAACTCTGCACTTACCCCTCCCCTGACTTAAAAACAGTCAACTGATAATAAGTTAGGGTTAATGTTGGGTTGGGGGAGGGGTAGGTACGCAGTTGATCAGACACTGACATTGATTCACAAATCTTATACTTCAGGGTGGCAGAAACGCGCGAAGCCGAAGAAGCGACATTGCAGAAATCTTTTTCAGTGTTAGATACTCCATTTGCCGTTGCTCATCGCCGCGTTAAACGCAAGCCCGCTAAACGGTACAACAGCGGTATAACCCAACATCGCCAAGACGCGCGAAAATTCGAAAATGTGACGCCCCCCCTGGCTACGCCTCTGATACAACTCTATCTTTGTCGTCAATATCTTAATATTGTAAACCTTAATTACAGAATCAAGCATAAATATGGAAGCGCAACACTTGCAACAGTTCCTATCATAATGCTACCCGTGGATTTTCCTGTAAAGATAAAAGAAAAAAAATAACAATGACTAAAATAGGAAACGAACTTTGCAAACTGTTCAACAAATAGGATGCCTGTCTCTTCCCAGTATTTCTTTCCCAGATCCCTTCGTTTTTGACCTCTCAAGTTATCAAGTTAAGGGGGCTACACAACGAAGATTGGGTGGCCTGGTAACAATAACAGGTCCTCATCATTCACACTTCAGTATGAGCGTTTCTCTACCCACGGGTGGTTTTGAGGCCTTTAGCAAGCTAGCCAACGAGAGTTCTGCAGGGCGGGATCTGGCTCTAAAAAAACCTTAGTATCACATCCCATACAGACCTATTGCAGGCCCGCTTTATTCAAGGCCTCGAACTTTCACGCGAGCGAAAAGCGCTCGTGCCACAGCGCTAATGATGAGAGCATAAGCACAGGCTGAGGATTGGGTTATTTTTGGATGTGACTTGCAAACCTATTTTAGAAGATCCATTTACAGAAAAAAAAACTAGAGTCCAAACTCCGTAGAAAATATCAAGTAAACTTGTTAAATAAACCACAACATTTGGCTAAAATAAAAGCTCCGAAACTTCTTAAATTTCCAAGCAAAGGGATAACAAATTTACGCAAACGAAAGTTTAAAAACAACGAACTAAAACTCCGCGAAAACAAACAAAAAGTACGCGAAAAATGTCCACGTCAGTTTTCCAATGTCAAGGTTAGAGTTCTTTGACGTGACTGGCTAATTTGTGAAATCACGCACGCCGCGCGTGAGTATAAATGTTATTAAGACGATAACGTACGCACAAGAAGGCAAAACTATAGAATAATTTTTAATTGAAATTCGAGAGTGATACAGGATTGCTTCGGTTTTGCTCTAATTCGTTATGTTATTGGTGTAGAAAACTCGCGCCACTTTCTCAACCAATCAGAGGCAAAACTACAACCAGCCACGACTTGGTCACCCGCGTTTCCCGCGCTTTGAGCTTTTTGTTTGTTTTCATTTTGAGTTCTCATTGGCTCTTCAGGATAATTGCTTGTCTTTTGTCTTCTTCAAAAGTAAATTGATGCTAAATTTTACAAGATGATCAAACACTGGAAAGGATTGAGCTTTCTCCCAATTCCCCACAGTCCGTCTACATTTACAGAGGCGACGATCAGTTTAGAGCGAGGGTCGGGGCAAGTGAGAAAAAAGTCTGTCATACACAGTTTTTACCTGGCAATTGGTAAAAGATGTAACCGGCCACAAACCCACGTGAGACAAACGAGTCGTTGTTCGATGTAAACTTTATGGAAATTCGCAGGTGATCGCCAGTCCAGGTTAGGTAAAACGGTTCTCGTTGGCCACACAATTTAAACATGACAACCTCTCCATTAGATTTCCACACTGACAAAGAGAAGGAAATGAAATGCGTCAAGACTTTCACAACTTGTCATCATAAGATTCAGACTTAGCGTTCTCGTTCCCAGAGTCCTCTTTTTCTGATCACGTGGTCGGTAAGTAATGAATCCCCTATTCCTATGGCATGAAGCGACTAAAATAATGTCTGCTACCCTTAAAGGATTTATAAGTCCTTCTCAGATTTCTCCTCAGTAATTTTGTTAGGTTTCCTTGACAGTTCACCAGATCCACCCAGCTGGTACGTGTGACACAGACTTCCCATCATGGCAGGTTTTCAAAAACAGCCAGATCACCTTTAATTGTTAGAATGTCATCCTTAGGACTTTGACATATTCCAGATCCTTGTGTGTCAAAATCCATGAAGTAGATACGAACTCCCATCCTCTGAAATAAAAAGTAAGGTTTTGGAAACATTAGGATGAAGAGAATACAATTACCCTTTGATAAGCATCTAATTTCTCCTTACAATATCATACCTACATCACACATGTAAGTACACGAGAATAAAGGAAATGAACTAAGAAGCTCTTGATTTATAAACACATTCTCCTTGCCAGCACCTTAGGAAATGTATGCAGAACAGTATGGAGAATATACATACTGATATTAGGGTGTAAAGTGTTATGGTTCTAGGATCAGGGCTAACATACTAATTAGGAGAAGCTGGAAATTAAACTATTCCACTTAGTCCTAGTCTCTGTGTGAGCCGTGGTTTTACTGAGGCGTTTAGTTTGTCTCAACACTTAGGATAGACCAGCTTTCCCGAGTCTAAAAATAATTTAAGAAGAATTACCATAGGAACGAGACTATGTGGGGTAGCTGGTCTCTTCGACTGATTTTCTCCCGACTCAAGTTGCTTCTTACGCAACCTGTGTTATGACAACTCACTGACAATTACAATACCTGTAGTGTTGTTTCGAATGTTAATGTCTGCGATTCACATTGCGCAGGATAACGCGCAGGGTAGCCTGGTGAAGAAACAAGGCCACTCTCAGAACTTGAATTCAGCTTCACTTGTTGCCTGAAAATGACAAAGAACATATAGGAAGTCTTTTAGCCATGTAATGGCAAAAGAGTTTCACCATTCACTTTAGAGACGGCTAAGAGTAGCCTGGACCCTACTGTGAGCTGTAACCAGTCAACGATAGAGTCTCACCGAGATTACCCTTCGAGACTTCGCGTGAATAATTGACAAGCTGAGAGAGATCGCGCAAGGAGCAGGTTCTTCAAACCCCCTTCTTCCCTCCCTAATGAAGAATTTTGGCATTGATTTCGAGAAAACTGCATGGGATGGCTTGACAGCCGCAATTTCCTTATACGAAAAATCCGATTTCATGTTCTACTATAGGATCAAATATTTAGTTATAGTCTCTTCTCGTACAGGCTCCTCTTCGGAGCTACCTAAAATAGATTCACAGTTAATTATACCCCCGAAAGACTGAAGAGCGATTGATAATAAGTGTCTGATTGACGGCATGACAAAATTTCCTCTCAAAAAACTTTTCAACTGGTTGAAGTTCGTAGAGGGGCTATCTAAAATCAGCCAACGGAATTCAGTACGACAATTTTCTTAATTTTTGTTCGATATCTTAAAACTTATTTATATTTGCAGCCGTGCACGGAGAAATAATAATTCTCTAAGTACATTTGCCACTAAAGTTTGGTTTTATTTTAATTAGTTAAAAAAGTATCACGAGGGAAGCAATGTTTTTCAAAATCTCGGTAAAGCTCTGGGGAGCTGTTTCGAAACGTTAGGTAGACTGAGGGACCGGTCATAACAATGGCCACTTTGGGGAAGGGGGGGAGGGGGGTGGGGTCGAAGGATTATTGGGGATCACATGGTTTTTTGGGGGGACAGGGCGGGATTAGTCGTTGCTAACAGAATAAAAGTGGGAGTTGACTGCCAATGAAGGGGGGGAAGGGATCATCAGAAGACTGCAGAGCCTTAAGGGGGTCAGGTAAGATTTCATGGTGACGACATGAAAATATCCGACCCCCTCCCCCCTCCACGGGCGACAGACAATGGCCACTCAATAGCGTGTTACTCCTTGGGCTTCTCCATCTTTTTTTTGAGTCTGTCGCACGCAATCCGCAAGCATTGACATGCAGTAAAAAAACAATGTGGTGTAAAATGCAGAGGGGTTAATGAAGAGCTCTTGTCGATGCCAAACTTGTGGCACAAGGAGGACTTGGTTAGAGCTGAGGTTGTACACTGGTTAATTGACAGTCCAGGGACAGGGCAGGTAATTAATAAATTAAAAACAAGTAGTAAACTTCGCCCGTTCGTGATCTCTGCGTACCTAGCGCTATGGACATACCTACTCATCTCAAGTCCGAAGGAATGTGACTCAAACCCTGGCCGCGCCAACTCTTGAGCTTGAGTAAAGGTTTACGCACTTACCTACGTCCTTCCTAAAAGGAAGGCGCAATAGACACAAAAATATTCTTCATGTAATCTCACACGATTACACACCAGTATTTTTTCGCGAAACAACTTTATTATCACGATTTCATAATTCCAGCAACGGAAACATACAATCGACCGCGATCGCGAGTCTTACACTGATTTTCCGAAAGCAACTTTACTAAAATCAACCGGTGGACTTAGTTCACGTTCCCCTTGCTATTCTTCATTATTATCGAGCAAATATCCAAGGGATTGAAAATGTCCTCGTCCAACAGTCGCATTTCTTCCTCGCTCAGAGATTTGTAATTCTCTGTAAGTTTTTTTTGCTTGTCCATTTGAACGTCTGCTTCGGTCACCTGGCAGTGATAACTCCAGAGGCGCAGCCGACTTCGCGTGCGTTTTTCTTCATCTTTTCTGTTCTGGTCAGGGACAACTTGGTTCTCTTCGTTTGGTGGTAGAACTGAATAAAAAGCATCGTCATCCTCTAAAGGCTCAGCAACATTGCTCGTTTGACTTCCATGTGGTTTGTGGTTGCTGGAGGACTCGTACATACTTTTTCCCTTAACTTCCATGGCCGTTTGGGCTCGACAATCTCTTTCTCGTTCTCGTAATGGTTCTGACGATCGTCTAGGCTCGTTTGGCAAAATGGTCTGGTTAGGTCTTCGTTTTTATATGTTTTTCTTAGAGATTTTGTTTTGGAAAAACATGTGGGTAAATCCTGCCAGTGACGTCGAAATACTAATTGGTAATTAATTAGTAGTGATAATATCTCTCAAGGGATCTACGTCACCCAGTCAATTGCAAAATGGGCGGCGTTCTTTTAGCCTCGGTGTCAAGTTCAAGAGTTCGTTTCAGTCCTCTTTGTCCTTATCCTTGACACCCTAACATCAGTATGCATTCTCTAGAAATTTCCAAAGGTGCCGACACAGCGCTCCAAGTTGCGAACGTTTTGGTTTTTATTCTCAAGACCTTTACGTTTGATTCAAGTGTTATACTGTGAAGAAAAAAGAAGCCAGTCACTCTAAGCAATAAAGGGTTAACCATCCTCGCTCCTTCTTGTTTCGGTCGTATATTTTCGGTGTTTATCAAGAAAATTATTATTTCTGGGTTTCTTGATACCAGTTTAACGCGTACCTCCTTTCAGATCGTTGACAGGTGTTTAACACGAAAAAAGAAAACCGCCACTGTCAAGTAAACTCAAGAATTACATATTGTTTTCTAGTCCATTTGTCTTTTTCCGTGATTCTTCGCTCTCTGTAGTAGTATTTATTCATATTTCTGCCTTTTTTTTCCTTTTGTGTGTCCTTTGACTCGTTAAAACATATTTTTCGCTATTTTCCTCGACATAAGAGTAAACGAAGGAAGGCAGGCTGTACGAGATTTCATTGGAAAACAGTATGCGTGTTTGTCATGGTGGACTTGAAAAAACTGGTTGCGCGTTCTCCATGAAAATTTAATCCTCATGAACGAACAGGAAGTTTGCTAAGGTTTCGTTTGCTGTCGAGCAAACAATAAACAGGTTATTTCTGAATCATGACCGATTAACAAATTACATTAAAAATTCATGGAGGTTGTTATGCTTGCCTGAATCATCTAACATGACAAACATGGCTTTATCTCAAAATAAATAGGAATTAAACATGTCTGAGTCAGTGCTAAAAATTCAGCTCACGTTCATAAATAATTTTTCTTACATAGGCACCTTGCCCAGTATCAGTGAGCCTCTAAATTAAAGATAGAATCGAAGAATATAGAGCTAATGATACAGTTACAATAAAATACGATTATTTAAAAATGATTTAAAACCATGTAAAACTAGAGAAGATGATTTTCGTTTTGTCATGAGCGTGGGAAAAAGAAAAAATTCTGAGTTTCCATGAGGAATCGAACCTCAGACCTTCAGATTCCGCGTTTCAATGCTCTACCACTGAGCCACAGAGACCCTACGGTGAGCGAAGTCTATTACGTAGTTCATATGACACGCTTCCCGTATATTGCTGGGATCAGCAATGTCGATAGCGCCATGTTTGTAAATAGATAGAGAGTGATGGTGAATTTTGAGCTCAGTAAAAATATAGAGAAGATTTTTTTCGTCTTGTCACGAGCGTGGGACAAAATCTCTCTCAAAATTTCCTACCTCTCTTGGTCTATTTATGTAAAACTAATTTACAAGAATGATCGCGCACGAATTTGATTATTTCAAGTTCGGTTAAAATTAAAGTGAACACTTAAAAATTTTTACCCCTACAACTCCGTTGGAAGTCTACATTTAGCATGTTCTATTCTTTGAATACTCTTACAGAAAACGTCCGACCACCTTCATTATTCTTTTATATGGAGGAAAAATTTAATAAAGATTACTGAAACAAAAGCACCTGGTATGTTTATATGCTTCATTTTATCGCATAAAATTCAAATAAATTATGGGAGAATAGGTCAATGCTTTTAAGACTGAGAACAGAACATAGGGTATATTTGAAGAACAAATTCAAAACACGAAAACAGGTTCAACGGCACTCAAGTCTAACAATGCCCACGTAATCGCCATGGAACTTTGAGAGGAGCTAATTAAGGTGAGTAACTTATTTATTAACATTTAATTAAAGCCATTGTGAGCAAAACAACAAACAAAGGTTGCGGGTTAAGAGTCTTTAAGGGGGTAATTACATGAGGTTCTTTGTTATTGTTCAGTTAATTGGCCTCTTACGTGTAATACTTTTGCTATTGTTTGGTTAATTAGCTTCTAATTAACCACTAATTAACGTAAACGTCATCATCGCCGACTCCTTTTAATGGTGATTACGTTGAGCGAAGTCTACGCGGGCGCGAGGACAATCTCAGTGCACCATGGGAAATTAAATGGCCAGGAGGACGGTTGTGTCTAAATCCTACCGGTTAGAAGGTACGCCCGAGGAGTACTAGTGACGAGTTTCCGAGTCGGGTGATCATCGGAAATTGCCGGCTATTCCAATAAGGCGGACTACTCCAATAACACCATTTGCGATTTACCAACAGTCAAGCGACATGATTGAACCAGACATGAACATTATTGCATACTTTAGAGGTTAAATCTAGCAAATTTCGCCAAATTTTGTATGGCTGTTTCCTTCTACCTTGTCGATCTTAATTTTCTCGAACAGCAGAGTCCTAGCTTAACACTGTAGCCGCCAAGACCTACGCTTGCAAAGGTAAACAAAACTTATGAATAGTATCACCACTATAATGCCCTTGTCAAAGTGCTACTGGTTGCAAAGATCCCCAAGATGAAGTCTCTATTGTCTTGTACCTCTGGTCGGTAGGATCAAAGAAGGCTCAGAATATACTACCGGCTAGAGGTACAGCTTGCATATCTAGTCGACTTTGTCAAATTGTTACTACGGTTTGCTCCACATTTTACCTTTCTGCACTCCAAATTAGTCTTACACTCCTTAGAATCACTTTTTTTCCATCATGATTGATTTACATTTAGTTTTTCTTTATTAGATCTTGTACCTCTAGCTGGTATGATCATAGAAGGCTTAGAAAATACTAGAGGTACGTACAGCTTGGATATTTAATCGACTTTGCACAATTTTTAGGACAGTTTGCTTTGCGTTTTGCTTTTGGAATCACTTTTTTTAAGAATATCTTCTTGTTCCTGGGTCGTGTACCTTTATAAACAATAACAACATTCATTTCACAATTACAAAATAATTGTTTACTGCATGTCACTAAGAATAGCTCGTCTTTGTTATGTTAATTATAACAGTCGCAAAAATAATAGTAACAACAATAATTGTCATAGTAACTGTTCAGTGTCAAAGTATTCCCCGGAAAAATTTTTTTTTAAAAATCTTGCACGATGACCTAAATGATATGCACAATAATAACTTAGCAAAATCGGAGAAATAGCATTTTTGTCAAACCCGGCCACTCGCCCTAAAAATTTCACCTTAGAGATCAAAACATTCAGTATCTTGGTAACCCTCAAATTTAGAGTGACGATATTAATAACATTTACAACCATTGACTAAAATGAAAACTGACCTTATTTATTCCCCCACGCTTAATTTGAAAACAGGACATAAGTATCCACGGATAATTACATTAAAAATTCACGAGTTCTTAATCTATTGTGGCTGGTAGTTACCACTAATTAATGAGTTAATTAAGAAGAAATTGCTTGTAAGTTGTTTTGTTATTGTTTTGCTCTAAGCGATGAAGTCGGCCTATATAAACTAAAATAATGTCTATTTCAACGAGTTCAGCGAAGAACCTTGAACAAATAGAATCTAAAAAAAAAACGCTTGCGAGTCAGATCGTTTAGGCCTAAAAACATGTATTCATTCCACCAGATAAAACGCAAAAGAATAGAGAGTTTAAACGTCAGTCAAGCTCTCTCCAAAAACGAAAATTCTGATCAGGTTGTTCCTGAACAATGCACAGAATTTGAAGAGCAAGAAAGAAGAAGAACATGGAGTTACCACTGTCAAGTTCCCGAAGCAAAGGTGGAAACAAAAGGGAAACTAACAGAGGCGGCTAAGTCATTGAGCGAAGAGGAGATGCGACTCTTGGAGGAGGACATATTCAAACCTCTGGATATATGGTCAATTATACTGAAAAACTGTCAGGAGAATGAAAATTGACTTCGAGGAAGAAAGTAAATTTGCGAAAGATAGCTCAAAGAAACAAGGCCAACGGGTCTTGTCATCGAGTGTGAAAGAAACGCGACGTTTTCAAGGAGATGTACATTCAATATGGTGGACCATTCACGAACAAAAAAGACACCGAGATGAGAAGGCATGGAGCTTACTCCTTTATTTGGCAGAGTTCGAAACAGAACTGTGATCTCTCTTGACAAAACAAACATTCTCTCATAATTTTTCGTTTTGTCAATGTGAAGTAAATTGCCTATAATTTTATATGACATAGAAAGATTCATTGACCTAAATCAACTCTCTCTTCTCGATAGGAATATTTTTGAGGAGTTTCACCATTGCCGACGATAGATCGTATCTCACATCTCTGTGACTTTGACCGAGTTTTGTTTTCGGTAGGAAAGCTAAATACTCGTTAATTTGACTAAAATCGTACATGAAACTGTAATCTTAGTTTCTCTTTATGCTTGAATGTAAAAAAGGTTTTTTACTTGACAAAAACTAAGTCCTGTTCATCCGGCGAAAAAATAAACAGCCATATGTAAATGATACATAGAAGTTATTCTTTGCTTTTATCAACTGAGTTGGTGATGTGAATAGGCTACCGTAGTGAGTTTCCAAAGCTGAAGTTTCAAGCGTTAGCCCCTCGTCAGAGCGAATAGAGGAATTGTGGGTTGTGTATATTTGAAGACGGGTAGATGACAGTGGCCTCGAATCTCATCGAATTTGGCTTAACTAAAAAAAAAAAAGGGTGTCAGCGGCGAAAAAAGGGTTGACTTCTAAAACATTTATCACATAGAGAATAATACATGGGCGCGCGAAGATATATGGAATTTCTCTAATCAGTCATAACAAATATCTGTACCAAATATAGACAAAAAAAATTAAAATGAAAACCAGCAATTAACCTGGCTGAAGTTATGGAAAAACGTGACCGACGAAGCACAGCATAGCGTTAAAATGAGTACGCATGCTTGTAACTCGTAATTTATGCGTGCGAAGGAATGGGAACGACAATCTTTCCATGGTAACACTATCGAGGCAAGATGGTAGCATTTTTAAACTTCCCGATCCCTGCTTTCATTTGGCAGGGATCAGCCCAAACCAAAACAGATGCGAGACAGCGTTTGTTTGTGCATCAATTTTTTCTTTGAAATTTTGCGCGGGAAATTGGTACTCGACCGCCCAGAATCAATCCCCTTGCGCATGCACGACGTTTGACCGCAGAGTTCAATATGTCCGGCTAAATCTTGTATCTGATTGTTGAGAGAGTGGCACGACTTTTCTTTACCAAGAAAAGAGTGCAGCAGAAAAAAAAAACCAATTAAATCCCAGATCCTAACTAAGCTTAACCGATTTGCAAAGCAAAGATATCGTTAAAGCCTTTTTTACGTCAATGTTGCAACACCAAATCTGATCTCATTATTAGAACTTCAGTACGTGCATTTCTTTGCCTGCGAAAGTTTGAGGCTTGGCGCAACACTACCCAGCAAGTGTCTGCAAGTGATCTAGCAAACCTCTCCCCGACTCGTCTCCGATCTCCCCACGGGCGGCGAATGGGGACCTGTTCACAAGTTGAACTGACGTTAACACGACAGCCAATCAGAAATATGGTATGTTATACACCAAGGGCCAATGTGATTTGTCGAGAAACACCTCGAGTGGCACAAGTTTTCCTGACCAGTCATAAACCAATTTAATCTCAGGTCACTCAAGACACCATTTTAAAATTTCTTTCAGTCCTAAAACATATTTATCAAAATTTACCTGCGATTGTAAAGGTGAAGCAAACCTCTGGGTTTCGCTGCAACAATAAGTCTAGCTTTAAATCCACGACCTGCTACGGCATCATCCGAATGGAACACGAGTCGAAGACACCGGTCGGGGGAGATTACAGCACTCGGCTTTCTTTTGCCGCAAAATTTCCCAATAGATGTGTATGAACAGCTGAAAAAGAACAAACAAGAGAAAAGTAAATGTGCCCTGCTCTTAACGCGTGGCTTCGTTTAGTTGATAGTTCCACCCAACTGGTATCTAGAACGTACAAGTTTGAATCCCGTCGAAGCCTGGTTTTTTCAGGCCTCTCTTCTGTCATTGCTTAACCCTTCAACTCCTATGAGTGACCGAGACAGAATTTCTCCCTACAATTTTCATACAATATCAAGCAGACAAGTGATGAGAATGGAGAATCAATTAGGGGCCGGGATTATTGGCTGATCCAATACCAAATTCTCCAAACTTACATTGCAAGAATTGTATGGCAGACAGTAAGGAGACTTACTCATGTGATCTTGGGAATGAAAGGGTTAAAAAGCAGTCTACCTGTGAGGATGGTTACTTAAATTGATTACTAGAAATTTAACTTGTCAGTAAAAAGAGTCAGAACTACCTTAACTTTCCCCCATGTGTATGTATAAAATATTTCCGAAAGTTTAAAAATATCTATTTGCAAAAAAGAAAAAACAATTAGCCTGGGATGCATTATTCTCAGAAATTATTTCTTATTCACTTCAAACTGAGGTAAGCTTTTTTTTTCCCAGCTTTTTTGATGTTGTCATGGTAGTGAGATTACTCAAACTTATCAGGCACAAGATCTTATCCTGACTGATCACCAAATTCTCGTAACCAATTTACAAGGAAACGTATAGAAGCGAGAGGAGAGAATTAGCAATCAGATCCTGGGATTTAAAGGCTTAAAATTGATCAAACATAACTGGATTAATCACCTTACGAAAATTTCCACATAATCTGTGTCGCAGTTAGGTAGGATGCCAGCGATTTCGAAGTCATACCACGAGAGTTCCAATACATTGGGAGCGATGCTTGCCTGAAATTTAGCCTGAAAAGTGCATTCCAGATTGTTCTTATATTTTCCGTGTTGGTCTTGAGGTAAAGTAATAATTTCACCCCAGGGTAAATTTCCACCGCACGCACAACTCACAGGCCGACTTTGTAGACAACATGCTATTGTAATGACATGGACAAGATATTTCAAATACTTGTACATTATGTTTTTTGACGAAATGGTTGAGCAAAGACTGGTGCCTACTACGATTCAAAATGGCTGACTGTGCTGTTGAAAGTGTCCTTGCAAAAGTTTCAGCGATTTTGTCGCCCGTTGGTTTGGAATCGCACCCTTTCAAGGTAGAGTTCTCTTTGTGGGGAATGACACTGTATTTGAGATATTAGTTCGAGTGATAAGTACCAACTGACAGATTGTTAATGATGATGTTTTGTTCGGCCTGGCATGCAATGATGTTGCACGCCACTGTAATCTTTGCCCTCTGAAGAGAAATCTTCAGCGCGATCTTAATGATTTCTCTTCCAAACGACTAAGGAAAAGTGCCTTTTTTTAAGCCAACTACTGCAAGTTTGACCTTATTTTACGGTTAAAAAAATTACCGTTTAATGTTTGTTTACGTTTACACTTTCATCCAAAGCATGTTGTTATCACACGTGTATCTTTCAGTTTATTTTGCACGGGAAACTTCTGACCTTTGTAGCTCTATTTAATTAAATTGTTGACAAATCGGGAAGATAAAGAACGTTAAAGCTCGTTAGCAGCTGCTGTAGATTACTATGAATTAGCTAGTCCTAAAACTGATCACAACCTCTCCAGCTGTGGAATTCAGCCGCAGTTTGTTTTGACCATTTTCAAGTGAGAGTAAGCGGTTTGTTATTGTTGGTTTTCATGAGTAGCTATTGTACAAGAATGAATTAAGTATTACAACGTAACAAGCGACGGACAATCGCTAGTATTACCCAATTCTGTTTTATCAGGGTTGAACTGTGCTCAGATCAGCATGAAATCGACAGAATCAGAAAGCTTCTGAGTACAGTCACTACCTTTATCTACCTTAAGTTCAGCTTAGTTAATTTTTTGCAAGATTTTGCGGCCTTGTGATGGGCAATTACCTCCCAGGAGATAGGACCTTGGACAGGATGAAAGGCTTAGAACAGCTGTAAGGGTTTATGAAAAACATTGAAATATAACCTTTGGCCCATGGACTAGATTCCATATTACTTTTTAGACTACATTCTTCACCCAGAGATCTAATTAATCTCTTTTTAGTGTAATACATTGACAGATGTTTAAAATAAAGAAAGTTACTAATTAAAGGATTTTGTATTGATATAAACTTAAATTTTTGCCACTAACACCCACAAAATCAATAGATGTTAGGAATTTCTATTCAAGGGTTAACTCTTTAACTTCCAAGATCTCATTAGTAATTCTCCTTACTATTTGCCATATAATTAATATGATGTTAGTTTGGAGAATTTGGAATTGGATCAATTGATATTTTTTTCTTTATTCTTGTTACTTGTTTGCTTGATATTGTACTGATAGTGTAAGGAGAAATTGGGTCAAGGTCACAAGTGGGACTTGAAGGGTTAACTCATTCAGCATTACCATTCACAGATTGGCTGGTACAATGATCAACTGGAACACGAAGCATTCAACCTACCCTACCCCTATGACACTCTTGCTCTTGTCATCATAAGCACTCCACAGATGTTCGACCGTGGATTTAAACCATTCATCAAGGCAACAGCTTGCATTGGAGAGAACGATCCACTTGATGAATTCATGGCCACTATGTTTGCAAAAGTTAAGGCAGAATTTGGTCCTGAGTGCGACATTGAAGCCATTCATGATTTTGAGATGCTTCCTAACCGCAGACCCAAGGTTTTAGTCCAGACAGCTGCACATGTGGCAGGTGGAGCCTATTACTACCAACGCAATAGTGTAACTAAAGATCCTTGGGACACCAAGAAGAAGATTTGTGGAGTTTCTGTTCATGCTAAATATGGGGGCTGGTTTGCAATGCGGGGTGTGATCATCTTCAAGAATGTCTTGGTGCCTGACTTGCAACAAAAGGAACCCAAAGATGTTGTGCAAGGAGATGAGAAGCGTATTGAACTTCTAGAGAAGTTCAACTTTCACTGGCAGGATTGGAGTTTCAGGGATATTGTTCCCTCTGAAGTGAAGTATTCTGAAGAGCAAAAGAAATACTTTGCTACCTTACCAGCCAATCGGAAAGAACTTTTAGATTCATACCGGAACACAACTGCTTTGGCAACAGAATGAAAGTCATGGTCTTAAACTTCTAAACAGTCAAAGAAATAATAAAAACCAAATAATTAGAAACTAGAATCAATTAATAGCAGTTAAGGTGAGTTCTTGATTTTTATGGGAGCACACACATTGCTCCAAGATATTCATCCATTTTTAGCAGTCTCCACAAGCAGATGTATGTATGATATGATAATAAATGCTATAAAAATTTTTTTACTGAGACAGATGTATTAAGATAAGTTACAAAATGTTTAAAAAACTCAGGCTGATTAATTTTTAAGGAGAACCACTTGACACTCTCAAAAGCCTGTAAACTCTTTCCTTTCTAACTTCAGTATGCATATTCTCCATACTGTTCTCTATACATTTCCTTAGGTGCTGACAAAGAGAATTTGTTTAATAATCAAAAACTGCTTCTGCTGGTGATCAAATCCTCTGTTCTCATGACCTTAAAGGTCTTTATGTATGATTCAGGGAGGATATTGTATGCATGCCACTTATAAGGGTTTGAGGGTTGACTGTCATGGTTAGGACAATGAAAATATATTTTAGTATTAATAGTAATGGGCAGTTTGGCCAGTAGCTACTTTCACTGCTAATAAGTTAGAGTGTTTTATTCATTTGTTTCAATTTTTATCAGCATGTTTTTGCACTGATAAGTGTCCAATTAGTTACAATTGTCAATGGATTTGTTGAGCAAAGCTAGTATTTTTTTAAAGATAAATGCTTAAGAATATAATAGATTATCGAATTTGTGTTTTATTTCCCAAGATGTAATTATTGGGTACAGTTGGAAAAAGAACCAACTATAATCAACCATAAAATTAGACGTCCATACTATACTTGAACTTTAATTAACAGAAATTGAATATCAAACTGTTGGCTCTAATGAGGAGTTTACCTGTAACTGCTATTAATAGGATAGAATTAAAAAAAAAAGAACTTTGATATAGAAATTGAGTAGTTTATTATTTCCTGTCCCTGTCAGGTGCACAATACATTCACAAAATTTATTGAATTTAGTAACAGCTAATGATATTACTTATTAATAATAATTGTTATTAATAAAGTTAATTCATTACCATCTTCATGACTGTATTTATTTGCTACTTTTTCATTTAAGACCCTTACCACCCTAACATCAGTATGCATGTTCTCCATACTGTTCTTGATACATTTTCTAAGCTGCTGAAAAGGACAATTCGTGTAACAATCAAGAGCTTCTTTAGTTGGTGATCATTTCCTTTATTCTCATGGCCTCAAGTCTTGATAAGACTAAAAATCTCCTCCATCACCAGCTTGCATCATGACGCACTGTAAATAATTTTCCCTAGTGATACTTATAATTATTTTATGTATTCCAGAAAAATGTTTCTCATTACATCAGTGAAAAAAAGGCTATATGTTTACTAACAAATGTAAAATTAAAAGCATTTTAAGCTCAATTTTCATTCACTCCCTAACATCACCTCTCAATAAAATCACACTGTGAAAATAAAACAAAGTAGTGATTCCTACAGGTCTAATATTGTGATTGCTCATGAGCAAAACCAAAAACTTTACAAACTGAAATTTTTTGCTCTCTTGACCCAAAAAATACATTAACTAAAATAAATATTTCAATAAACTCCACTTCAGCACCAAAATTTTAACATTGAAAAATATATAGAAGGCAATTTAACCAATATGGTAATCCATATCTGTGTCGAGGTGACAAATTAATCTGTCCTGTTCAACAGTATGTACCTTCTTGTGGAACATTTATCTGTGTGTCAGTTGCACTTGTCCATTGTGTTATGTTATAACAGTAGGTATTTCTCGGCCAGTGAACTCTTGCAGCTTTGAGACTTTGAGTGCTATGTCTAGTAGGGGTTTGAGAACAATCTACAAAGAGAATGTATTCAAGTAAAACAATGATCCTGACAGTTGAGCAACAAATGAATTGGTTGCAGGAAGAAAGCTTGAAAAAATTTAGGCTTCAAGGGGAGTCAAATCTGTGCCCCTAGATGCTAGTTTGGGGCTACTATTAACTGAGCTGTGAAGCTAAATGTTGGCGGCAGGGGACATTTCAGAGAGCTCTTCTTTCTTTGAAAGGAATCTGATCATAATTCCTTTTTTTTAATTGTTATCAAAATTTATCCACCAACAAAAGATTTAAATTTCACATTTGCCTAAGACTTCAGGCAGTACCAATGTCTCAGCTAACCAAATCCATCAATTGCACAAATAAAAAACTTTCATTGGCACCTTGGATAAAAACTAGATTTACAAGTAAGCATAAGGCTAAAACCCAGTTGAGCGATGGTAAGTGAAACTCTATAACTCCAGCTGTGTACGCCATCTTTCCTCATGAATAACAAGGGTAGGTTTTGAAAGACATTATGGTGCTGCATCAGAGGGGGGTATAATCAACTGAGTTGAAAATGTAAACTGGCCACTGTAAAGAGTTTCTAAAGCTGGTGTTTCCGTTGTTAACCCTTCATCTTTCCTCTCAGCTCTTTTGCCACCAGTTTTCATGCAGTGCTGATTCTAAGCATGACATGTAAATGTAGTAAAAATCCATACCTGAGCATCAAGTAAATGTTTAGATTCATCTGGTTCATAACTTTCCACATAAACACGAATAGTTGCACCAGCACTTCCTGTGCCACTCAGACGGAAGATGACACGTGATCCATCAGTGAAAATCATGCGAACCCCCTGTGTAGAATCATTAAAGACTGTTTTAATCACCTAAGCCAGAAACAATTTTGTAAAAAAACAATGCATTTAAGTTCATAAGTACACATCAGTGACCCCAATTCCTTGGACTATTGTGACAGATGGAAGACAACACATGATCCATCAGTGAAAATCATGCAAACCCCCTATGAAGAATCATTTAAGACTATTCACATCACTTATGCTAGAAACAATTTTTTTAAAAAGCAATGAATTTTAATTCAGTACACATCAATGACCCCAATTCATTGAACTATTGTGACAGATCTGGTTCATGAACTGCCAAAACGGACAAGATATGGACTATTAAATAAATCAGGGAGTCGAGAAGCAGATGCCTAAAGAAGATGCACCTGAAAGGGTCTTGATTTTAATTGTTAGCAATATTGGGGAAGGAGCTTGGTTAGTCAGCTGCCCAAACTCTGGTTCCACAGTTCTTGAATCACCTATAGACTGCTATTCAGTTCCTTAACCCTTTAACTCCCAAGATCTCATTAGTAATTCACCTTACTGTCTGCCATACAGTTCTTGTGATGTTAGTTTGGAGAATTTGGTATTGGATCAACTTATAATCCCCTAATTGGTATTAATTTTTCTTTATTATCATCACTTGTCTGCTTGATATTGTACTCATGATGTAAAGAGAAATTCTGTCTTGATCACCCATGGGTGTTAAAACATTAAATGGACAACATACAATCATGTAGATTAGTTATCTGGGGCCATGATAACAAAAAAAAAATGTCTCAGAATACATTTAAAAAAACCTAAACAATTCATTTGTTGTTGTTAAATTATTAACAAAATACATTCAAAGAAATAAATCAAGTATAAAAGGTTCATTAGAGCTTTATAATGAATAATGAATGATGTCTTTTGTCTTGTCATGGACAGAGGTTGGTAAAGTCTGTACCAGCTTTGTCTCCAACCCACACCTCTCAACAATGAGTGTGGGACAGAGAATAAAGTCTGAGTGCATGGCCATAAGGAATCACACTCCTGACCTTCAATTTATTTCTTTAATGACAAAAAAATATATTTCTGCATAAAAACAGTAACAACTTAACCCTTTGGCTCCCAGAAGTGATTAACATAAAACTTCTCCCTATAATATTCATACATTATTCAGCAAACACGTAATGAGAATATTCAAACTTATCAAGTAGAAGCTGTTACCTTGATCTAGCACCAAGTTCTCATAACTGATGTACAAAGAAATGTGTAGCAGCTAGAGGGGAGAATTAACAATCAGATCTAGCATTCAATTTACCTGTTTCTCCGTCACAATTCCATCAATGGGATCAGTGTAGGAAAAGTCATCCATTGACTTCACTTGGTATGTCTTCTGATCCTGACCACTGCCTCCTGTTAAAGATTTATTCACCAGAGATTCATCTTTGGCTGTCTGTCTTAGCAATTCAATCATCTTTTTGGCTCCCTCAGCTTCTACATTCTCATAATCACACCTGTCAGTAAGCAATTATATTCAGTATAAAGTATCATTAGTGTTCCTGGAGTAGTCAATTGCAAAAGGGCTCTGAATAAACCAAACAGAAACACAATTGATTTAAATTAACAAACATAATTACCATAACCATGAATTCAAATCAACAAACCTTGAAAAATTCAGGTTAAATTTATCAACATGGACTAATTGCAACATTACAGCCTTAACTTTTTCACTTCCAAGATCTCATATTAAGTAATTCTCCTTAACTGTCTGTAATACAATTCTTAGGATTTAAGTTCAGAGAATTTGGCATTCAATCATCTAATAATCACCTTATTGATATCTTTCTCTATTCTCATCACTTGTCTGATTGATATTGTATTGATATTGTAAGGAGAAAAACTATCTTGGCCTCTTGTGAGTGTTAAAGGATAAGGGAAAAGTCATAGAAAGCTACTGTATTAAATAAGCATTAATGATAGCACAGTCTTCAAATTAAATGAATATAGCACCTTAAAGAGTAGAAAAGCACTGCACATGCACTGTACCTCACAAAAAATCCCCTTCCATACTTCTTCCAGAAGTCCTTCAATATATCCTGGACAGACATCTTTTTGCTTGCAATGATTGACAGCCAGGCTGAAACACACAATTCAAAGTCATGCATAAAGGCTTATAAATCAAACACTGCAAAGCAACATGCATGCATCACCTCTTTGCCTAGAGATGTGTCCAGAAATGCATGCAGTAACAAAAATGGTGAAAATTTGACAAAATCATCAAATCCGCCAAGCTGATTTCCCTTAGAAGAATTTGACTGATATTCGCCAAGATCATCAATTCTGCTAAGCTGATTTCCCTTTGACAAGTTTGACTAAAATTGATCAAAATCATCAATTCCGCCAAGTTGATTCTGCTTTGACAAATTTGACCAAAAATTTGCCAAAACTGTCAAATCCATGAACATTCACTCAGTTTGACGAAATTTCATAAAATCTTCCATTTTTGTTCCTACATGCATGCATTACTGGACATCTAGCCACAAAAAAGAAATCTGTAAAATATTTTCATCTGATAATCTATACGGAGTCTCCCATTATTCTTAATGTTATTTCCTTACCAAGGAATGCCCAGACACCATCTTTCTCCCTGATGTGATCTGATCCTGTACCAAAGCTCTCTTCACCGCAAAGTGATAAACGCTGAGCATCCATCAGGTTTCCAAAGAATTTCCAGCCTAATAATGTACATGAAAAAGTCACGAAAAAAAATCATGAAAAATTGCTCTTGTCCTGCCGACTTGTGTAATTTTGTTGCCTTTGAAAAATTTACTCTTGCTTATTACACCAAATTGCACTCAAAATCATGTTATAACCTATACCAACACTATCGCACATTAACCAAAATACATATTACCAGTGTAAAAGTATTGCTTTCAAGTATTTGGTATGTAAGTGGAGAAGTATTATATAATTTGTAGTGGATGCTAATTAAAAAAAAATCCTTTGGCAAGTGGTCTTAAATGTGAGTATTGTTACATATTAATGGTAATAGGGATATAGTAGGTAACACAAGCAGGCCTCACCAGTAGGTACTTCAAAGCATTCAACCCCCAATTTCTGTCCCACTCTGTCAATAGCAGCACTTGTTGGCATGCTACGGGCCACACCCTTCAACCCTGTCTTGACAAAGTATGGAATGCATGTAGCATTATCGGCAATAACTGCAACAGAATCTGATGGAGTCACAAAGAATCCATTTTGCCCAAGAATCATGTTACGATCC